CAGCAATTCCTAAAAAAGGATAAAAAAAATATAACTTAATAATCCAAAAATCCTTTGGTCTTTCCTCTTAGTAATAACATAAAGATTTTGGCGATAAAACTTTGTTTTTATTAATACATATTAAGTTATTAAGTTTCATCAAGTATGCTCATTTTTTTATCGAATCTTTGGAGGTACCTTTTGTTTTTGTTGGGTATTTTACAGTGAAGTTCACCCCGTACAAAGCCCGGGGGTCACTCGAGATTGAGGGTTACAGAATAAGTTACAGAGGTAGTTTATAGGAGGGAATGATAACGGTTAACCATAGACTTGAACAGGTTAAAATTGTAATGATCTGTGAAACATCGTCTTGGAAGTTGGTTCCAGCAGTGGTTCGAAGTTGAATTTACTTCTCTTCAATGAAATACAGAGAGAATGGCGGTGGTTTACTTCGATGTAAGTGGAATGCAGTTTGTCCGTGCACTTTCCATGGAATTAGCAATAGAGCAGTGAGAACGTTGCCACCGCCCCTACCCCGGAGACGCTTTTGGACTCTGTCGAATGAGAACTAGATAAACACCTGCCCAAATATGAACAACAGTAGTCCATTTTAGGCTGGATATGGCTCTTGTAAAGGTAGAGGATAGGACAAAGAGTCAAGGTGCTTACTTTTTGGTACATGTATAGAGTACCAAGTAAGAATCGAACTCACTATGAACTATGTACCAGGTCAATCAATAGACTTTTACACCAGGCGTCAATTTAATATTTATTTACTCATTGCAAAAAAAAAAAAAGCTAGAGAAATGAATAAGAAAATCCAAAATAAAATTCCGTTTGTGTAATACATTTAAAAAAAAAAAAGTAATAAGATATTCCGTTTTTATGGTAACCCGACGGAAATAAGCCAACATATATATATTTTATCATTACAATCTCATTAGATTGTAGGGAACATTAGGCTACTGATATATTGCTTTATATTTTTTTCATTTTGGTTTAGTTTCCTTTGGATATTTTTATTCTAATCGTTTAAAAAGCAGAACGCTTTCATACATAAGACAATAGGGTTAATTGTAGGTATATAAATCTTAAATTATTTGTAGCAAAAAGGTCAATAATGTAACTATAAAATAACGTAATACGGTTATTTTTAACAGGTACTTAGTGTAAGTACCTGTCAAAACACGCACAGATATACATACATAATAAATGCACACACAGACTCTTTCTCTCTCTCTCTCTCTCTCTCTCACACACACACACACACATATATATATATATATATATATATATATATGAACAAAGACAAAAGGCAAACGCGTAGGATAAGTTAAGTTTTCCTTTTGATTTTATTTATATTAATATCTAATGACCAAGACAGAACAGTTACACCACTCAAAAACAAAAAAAGTTCAGCAGACTGTTACACGTTTCAAGTTACCGTAATCGTCAGTCGATCAGAACTTTGTGGTCGTTAGACGATACAGTTGCCTTGCTATTCGAGCAGCGGTCTGAACTTCATATATATATATATATATATATATATATATTGGTTGGATAGATGTGACTTTGTTAGTTCTATCTCTGATATTGAGCGCTTTCTAATAAGTACCGCGCATATAATATATAAATAATTATATATATATATATATTTATTTATATTTACACACACACACACACACACACACACACACACACACACACACACACACACACACACACACATATATATATATATATATATATATATATATATGTTCTGAAGTGTGGAATTGTTAGTCCGGTGGAAATTCTTTTAGTTTATAGAAAAGAAAATTTGAAATCTTCTTGCACCTGAGTTTTCCTTTTCGATGGAGGCAGTGATGTATATATGTATACAGAAGAATAACTGTACCACATAAGTAACAACATAAAATGCCATCTCCAAAATGAATGGCGTGTGTAATGTGCAAACATAAAAACCATTTTTTTGTTACTTCTATAAATGAAAAATATCAAATGTTACGACTCTTCGGTATTGCAAATCAAACGTTGGATATGATTTCATTTCCCGACGATTTGCTATACATACACCAGTGGCTGAAAAGCTTCTCAAGTTCAACAGAGAAAAGTCTGTTGCAAATAAACCTGGGCGTAGTAGTAAGAAGAAGCTATCATCTAGGGCAGAAATTGATCTTGTAGGAACTATTGAAAATAACCTAAATATTACACCCAAGGATCTCATGAACAATCTGGAAGCAGCTGGAGTGAAACTAATTAATACGATTACTTGAGCCCTGAAAGTTACAGGTCTAGGAGCATGGCGAGAGATAATAAAATAAGCTTTTTTAAGGGCTAATCATTTGAAATCCCATTTAGCATTTTAAATGAACATTCATAAAGCTTTCTCGGAGAATATACACCGTGGGATGGATAAATAGTTGTCTAAATAACGCAAAAATGAAAATAACACTGATATCTCATTTTAAGAGATATATTTACCAAAATTACACAAAAATATCTGGAAATACTAAATAGTAAATTTATTCAGTAGAATCGCCACATGCTTCAAACATGGCCTCCAGACGATTTCGGAATCTCCTGAAACTCTTCTGGACGATCTCTTTGTTTAAGTTGGTGAATGCTGCCATAATCCTAGACTTCAGTTCATCTTTGATGTTACAAGGAGTTTTGTTGTCCCTTCGCTCAACTGCGCCCTACACAAGAGGGTTGCAATCTGGGGAGTTAGGTCGTCAGATGTAAGGGTTGATGTGATCGTAGAAATTGACTGACAGCCATGACTGGGTTCTCCTGCTTGTTTAGCATGGGGCAGAGTCCTGTTGCCAGACATAGGGTCTTTCAGCAGCCACCCTCTTGACCCAGGGCAGCCCTACCCACTCAAGGCACTTGATGTAGGACTCCGTGTTTAGTCTGAGGCCCTGAATTGAGGCATAACGACGACATCACTAGTGATCACTCCAACCACCTTCGTAATCACCATTAGACTCATCCAACTATTTCAGAATCCACTGCACTGTCATCACATTGATACCCAACTTTCTGAAATTGGAGCTTTCGGTGCGAATGCCAAGCAGTACAGTATGCCGTTTCCAAATATTTGGCGGAGTGAATTGCGTCATGGTGTTCTTTTTCTCACAGGTGGTGCCCAACTGACCTTACTGTACTGTGCTGTCGATAAAATGAAAAACAAACAACGCGCATGCGGGAAATTGAAATATGAAAAGGCAATAATTTACCCATCGCACCCTTTACTATGGTCTTATGAAATATAAGTAGCCATCTTGGAGTATAATGTCATGGACATTGTTCGGAGATGTCAAAGTGAGGCTTTCAATCCAAGGAACACGTTTCTTATAATTAAAATAAAATGAAAAGAAATATCATGCGTTTTGGATGTTTCTTTATTTTATTTTTTAAAGCAATTCACCCCAAGTAAGGCGGGAATACCACTAGCACGCAAGGGGTTACAGAGGATAGAGAAGAAGAATAAAGAGGCGTATTTGAGGAAAGGATAAACAGAAGGACGTGGAATCATGCTCAGGGTGTCAGATGTCGATTGATTTTATACTTGAATATTTGCAGATTATAGTCATCGGGAAAGCAAGTAAAGGGAAGGGAGTTCCACAGACGGGAATTGTGAGAGAAGAAGCTGTTTGAGTAGAAGAGATGGTTACATTTAATCGTTTTGACATTGAAAGTGTGATGCTTAAATTCATGTAGTCCGGAAACCAGCGGAAGTAGTCCTGAAAAATGTTCTGGAGTCCAAGCCTCTACAGGACGGTTTTAAATTTGAATATACGTTGCACTAAATGCGCTACTTACGACTATTACTGTCTTCACATATGCTATTTATACAGTCATGAAAGATGGAAGCTCGGACATCAGCATTATAAAGTATTGGAAATGTCATGCATCGGCAACTGTTTTACGAGGGATTATTCGCTATTTAGAGAAGAAGATGGACAAACACAATAGAGATCTGTACTTCTTTGACATACATGGTCTCCCAGAATTAACTGTTTCAATGAAATCGGGCAAATTTGTAAAAAAAAATCTTTTATACTTTTGTTTATTACTTTTGTGATAAAAAAAAAATATAAATCGTCTGATATCAAAACTGTACTGAAAATTCTTCAGCATACAGGGGCCGACACTATTTTTCAGACACTTTATTTTTTCAAGTTTTAGGTAGCACAGGCAGTTTTTTTTAGTGCAATGGCAATAACATTTAAAAACTGTTTCAATACTACAAATGGAAAATGCAGAATTCAAATTAGAAGTATTTTTATTTTTTTACAAATTTTCACATTACACAGGCGACAGTATTTTTCGGACATTGCAGAAACAATGATTATAGTTTATGGCAGCACCCTTTTTCTCAATGACTTCTATCAGTCTATCTTCATAATGTTCGTACATATTGATAATAACGTCTCTTCGTGTTTCTAGCAGTCTATTTTTAGCATCTTGTATGCGCTGCCACAGTTCAGCCTCTCTGGTTATTTCTGGCCCGTCGTAAAAAAGCTCTGCAAGCATTTCCCATATGTTTTCAATTAAATTTAAGTCTGGACTTCTTGCAGGCCATTCCAGAGTAGTTATATTTTTTCACATCCAATTTTTCACTGATTTGGCCACATGGATGCTGCAGTTATCTTGCTGCAAAATAAAATTACTTCCCTTTTCTTTTTCTATGAGTGGTAGGGCTCTCTTTTCCAAAAGTTCTCTGTAGCTCAAGCTATTTTGACATCCTTTTAACCACTCGAGCCACAAGTTTTCATTTGGAAATACCATACCCCAAACCACGACTCCTCCTCCTCCCACCTGTCGCTTGTTGGGAATAACAGGTTCATCTTTTCTCGACCATGTACACCACCCGTCAGGTCCATCGAACTTAAAACGTTTTTCGTCAGTAAATATCACTTTCTTGAAGTCGACATGGTTTGTTATCCATCTTTTGGCGCTTCCCACCCTTGCCTCCTTGTGTTTTCTCGTTAGTGTAATTCTTTTCTTGATTTTAG